CAACGGAATAGATACTCAAATGTACTGGCTGGTGGAAAAGATATCACAATGTACCAGTATGTTGAAAAGATATAAGAATCTACCAGTAGGTAGAAAAGATAGCATCATGTACAAGTTGGCAGAAAAGATACTGGCTGAAAATATATCATGTACTGGTTGGTGGAAAAGATATTGGAATGTAATGGCTAGTAGAAAAGATATCAGAATATACTGGCCGGCTGTGAAGATATCTATATTTCCTGACAAGCAGAAAGTTCTGGAAACTTTTAACAAGTTTTTGATATTTTCAAAAGTATAACTTTAAACAAGATTACGAATAAATATAACTAAAATAATTCTTAAGACACAATCAATATTGAGTTTATAAAAGTTGCTTCCCTTACATGACATTTGAACTCTTGTTTCATTATCTTTCATGCTACAGGAGACAGCATTTTAAAATACTACAGGAGACAGCATTTTAAAATACTACAGGAGACAGCATTTTAAAATACTACAGGAGACAGCATTTTAAAATATATATAAATTATTTAAAATGAATATAAAATAACTACAATTCACATAAAATATCTATATGCACGTTTCCATTGTCAAGCTCTGTGAAATCATTCTACACATGGCATCAGTTACACATTATATGTATATTTTAATTTAAAAGTGTAATGTCCCAAAAATACCAGGATGAAAAAATGAGACAGACAGACCTAATCAGTTGAATTTAGTATTACTGTCGTTGATTCTTTTTGTAAGTGTCTCCTGGAACTGAATCACTTTATTTCAGGTAGAAAAATGAAAAATTATGTGTAGAAATGAAAGGTTTACTTCAATGTACTTTTGACTATTTTTTTTTTTTAAGGAAGAAAAATGATAAATCCTGAAATAGCCAGTGTCACATTTACATTGTTGTCAGTTTCAAATGAATGAAGACAAGAAATACATGGTCAACAGAATGAGAACAATCTACCTTCATAGATTAAATAAAGGACTCAGTTCAAAATTTCCTGAAGGTTACCTGGATTGACAAGTACATGATGAAGGACGGAGGTTCACAACAGCTAAATCATTATGATAATAATAACAAAGACAAGGACAATAGTCAGAGTGTAAATAATGATAATTTCTCATCCCAAAGAGTTAAACAGAAAATATTGTAGTGTCAACCAAAATCAAATTGGACACTGTGGATTTGTGTTACAGGTTTGCATATGGTGCATTACGGAGTTCTACCTGATATGAAGTCAGTAATTCAACACCAGAAAAAAAAAAAATCACCAAAAGGATAAATAAACTTCACTATTAAACAATACATGTTTAATTGGAAGACTGCTACCTATATATATATATATATATATATATATATATATATATATATATATATGAGAGAGAGTTAAAGATCAAATGCAGATCAAATATGGATTGGAATTCATGTGATACATAACTGACCAATGAGAATTAACCGAAACAAAAGTGAAAATACCAAAGTTGTCTATTTTCTCTGATGAAGCTTTAATAAAATTGAAACATGTTAGATTAATAAACATTTCTTATTTGTCCCTTAAATTATCATATATAATATATATATATATATATATATATATATATATATATATATATAATGAATCATGCATACAAAAAGTAGATTAGTAATGAAATGTTTAATAATTAACATGTTTCTAATCTTTTTTTTATTAATGATTACAAAAAAAGTAAAGTTAATGATTTTGGTATTTTCATTTTTTAATCTAGTTTTTCATGCATGATTCATTATATATATATATATATATATATATATCCAATCCATATTTGATTTGCATTTGATCTTATATCATATATATATATATATATATATATATATATATATATATATATTTGTTTGTAACCCTCCAATATTAATATAGGTAAATACTTCATAAAACTGATAGAAAAACACTTTAGCAAAAAATGCATCTCTGAAAAAATATTCAACAAGATGAATCTAAAGATTAGCTATTCTTGCATGAACAATATGGAAAGAATTATTAGCTCACACAACAGTAAAATTTTAAGAGACCTATCTAATCTAAGACAAAATCAGGATACAACACGAATGGAAAAATCAACATGCAACTGCAGGACAGTGCCCAGTTGAAGGAATATGCATGGCAGAGAACACAATATATAAAGCAACAATTTTCCCCAAAGAAAAGGTTGAAGAGAAAAAGATATACATTGGAATATCAGCGGGAGATTGGAAACACCGACTATACAACCATTGCCAATCCTTCAAAAATAAATGTAAAAAAAAACAAACAACACTATCAAATCATTATTGGTTTTTGTTGGAGAGTGGCCTAACACCACAAATAAAGTGGAGAATAATATCAAGAGCCAGAACTCCCAAAAACTTCAGAGACAGATGCAACTTATGTTTGAAGGAGAAAATCTTCATAATCAAACAAAGATATACTACTAAATAGACACAATGAACTAGTTTTTAAATGCCGGCACAAAAACAACCTAAACCTAAGCAAGTACACTAAGAAATAATCATATAGGAACAGCAATTTTGAATGTTTTATATTCCCTTTGTTTTTAGAAATATTACTATGCACACGTGAACGCTAACACATGACTATATGTATACAACTATGATAATGTATTTGCACACTGAGACACCTGTTGATATGTACATGTATATGTTTTTATACGGAAAAAGAAGCATACCAGTTTTTTTTTTTTTTTTTTTTGTGAGTGTGGAGATGTACAATTAGATAGGTACTTATATGTTTTGCCATAAATATGAAAGATCGGGTAATATTATATGTGTAAAGATATAGATAATGTAATTAAATACTGAGATAGTCTTCGAACGCAGGCATAAGTGGATGCACGGGTGGACATGAGGATAGGGACAAATCATTGGGTAGATATATGTAAGTGCAAATTAACGCATATGTGGGTATGTAGATATTCTGCATATTGCGTATGCATATGCATATGTGTGTGTGTATGTATGTATGCATATATGGGTGTGTGTATGTATGTGTATATGTATACGTATGGATATGTAAATATATATATGCGTATGAATATATATGGATATGCAGATGTCCTTGTGTGTATATGTATATATGTAAGTATAAGTATACATGGAGATAGGTATGGAGACATGTGGATGTGCGTTTTCTCTGCAGGTGTATATGTGTAAAGATGGAAATATACATATATTGTTTTCGTGTGAATGTGTGTGTGGTGTATATAGGAACTCATAGGCATATAAGGCGATATAGGTATGTGGTTACAAATAGGGGTTTAAGACATGTGTAGATAAGAAATTGTAAAAGAAAGGCCTAATTTTCTGCTAGTGACATCTCTTCCAAATTTCTCCTCTAATATTCTCCAATTGGAAGTGAATTTTAAATAGCACAAAGGGAAAGTTTTAGATTAGTATTTTAATTGAGATTGAAAGATACTACCCCAATGTGGAAAATAAAATTATTTAAATGGGAATAACTGTTGATAACTGGATACATAAAAACAAACACGAGTTGACTTAATGAACAAAAATCAAAAACAATCACGAGTTTAAAAGTTTTAGTGGAAAAAAGTACTAAATATAAATTGGATTACTCTTTCAATGTTCTGTCTATGGATTTTTTCCATCGACTGCTTCATAGAAAATACCCAAAACTCCACTTAACATTAACCTCCCAAATATGCACGTTAAAGTAACGCGAACTGACAGCGTCTAAGAATTTGAATGAAACCTGTCGTGTAATTTATTGGGGTTGTTGTAACGTCTCCCTTTAATGTAGTTCTTATCGCTCACCCCTTAACCACCTTTATCTAGAGACGAGATGCGTTAAATTTGAGCAACATCCAGCCGACACACTGGGGTTAAAATAGGAAACTAAAATGATACATATGACACACTCATATCCTCTCTCCCACCTCACTTCCTCACTTCCTTTATCTTTGCGTATACTTGATGAGGTCCGTAAAAAACGTGTGAATTTCTTTTCATTTTACATTTCAGCTTTTGGAAGTAAAGTCTGATGATCCAGAACCCTGTTAAAGGGGTTATGGTGAAATAGCTTATTACATGGAATCTTAACGTGGTCTGTCTTTTATTCAAACATATCTGCTCTGAATTTTACATTGAGCTCTCTGGATATCGTCCTCCTCAGGTCTACCCATACGGATTACCTAAATTTGCATAAACTATATATATATATATATATATATATATATATATAAACAAACCAAACTATTGCTAAAATACAACCCTGCCACCATGAATCCTGCCAAATGAAAAAACTTGAAATGCAAAAAAAAAAAAAAAAAAAAAATTGAAAAAATAAACAAAAAATTAAAATAACTAACAAAAGGAAAAGGAAACATAAAAGGAAAAAAAAAGACAACTACTCAGGCAGTAACCCAAAATGCACAATGCCTTTAGTAAATAGACCAATACAGGGCAGTAACACAAAACACCGACAAAGAGCCTAGGTGCAAATGGTTACTCAGAGATTCCCACAGAATGATCTTGTTTCTGCATGAAACTGGGATTAACAATTTGCACTTAGGGTCTTTGTGCTGTTTTGTTATATATATATATATATATATATATATATATTGTGTGTGTGGGTACACACATGAGAGCTACTGAAAAGTTTTTAGCCTCAACTAAAAAGCTTTTTCCAAACCTGAAATTTGGTCATTTTATTAGTTTTTAGGGAGCAATAACTTTTCAGCACCCCTTCTAAATACAGTGCTCAATGATTACAATCAATGCCTAAAGTAATGAAAATGCTTTTAACAAATTAATTTTATTACATCAGATTAATTATCTTTGGAAGCAAATTAGACTTAAAATTTAACACATTAAAGGAAGATTTTAGGATGAGGCTTTTACTGGTTCTTTCAAACAACTATGAAATATTGGCAGATAGCAAAATGCTAAATAACAAAAGCTTTGTTTCAATTTTCAGTAAAGAAGCTTCAAACTTATTTGTACTTACCTGAAAGCCAAAAACTCCACATCCATTTGTTGTAGATGCATGGACTGGGTTTGGTCTTGGCATGCTACCTAGAAAAATACAAAGATTATATTCTATATGATTTTCTGTTATTCAAAATATTTGTTCTGATAAGCAAAGGTTATGTGAATTTGTTGAGGATTTAAAAACCATTGAAAGCAATTTAAATGATTAAGGGAGAATTAGATTACTGATGATTTGTAAAAAAAAATAAGAAAAGATCTTCTTTAAACCAATTCTTGTATTTGTTATGTTTTCAAGACCCCTCAATGATTTTCAATTCCATTATGGAACTGTATTAATGGCTCTTTGTACTTAAGAGGCAGATTAAAACAAGACTTTCACATTTCTAATTCAACAGATAAAGGTTTAAGTCCAGAAACTGATCTGCAATGAAGAGTCAAAATTTTACATTTCGCCCATTTAGACTTATTTTATTTAAAATTAAATAATATATAGAAAGGTAATAAAATTATCACTATTAGTCATATGCATATGTTATGGATATAGGAATCAACAATAAAATACATACACAAATGAATAGTTTGGTAACAGTGACCATAAATAGACATGACCTATTTACAGATACACTCCCTCCAACCACCCAATCAATACATAAAAGCAGTCTGAAGGTCATGAATGTAAGTAACCATCAATGTGAACCCTAAAACAAAAACAAAAAAACCTGGATATTGTCTAAATAGTAAGGACTAACAGGATTTTATTCTACCCACATTGTACATAAACTTTAGAATGTACTGGACTATCCATTGTGTGCTCAATGAACCAGTAGCATTCACCCCATAAAGGAAGTATGCATAATTGATTCCAGTGAAATGGAATATGGGTTATGAGGAATGGTAGCTGCATAGGATGGTATTGGATGAGAATAGAATCAAACTAGAGAGGTAATATTTTGTTCTTTCTATGCATATCTGTTTCAAAGGAAAAACGTTTGATAAAAAGCACATAACCTGAATGTAGTTGACTTATAGCCAGTAGCAAAAGTCACAAATATTGTGTTACAGTTTAGTTGTTATGTCCAAACCTTATTTTTCCCTTTAGGCTACATTATACATTTTTCTACTGGGTGTCAGAATGGTGATAAATGATGCTGTGTGGTGCCTACATTGTCCTCATTCCTTGGAGGAGCTGTAACTTTCTTCATGGTATTATTCTTAGAAAAGTAAGGCAGGTACCATATATTTTGAAAGAGATCATTTAGATATAATACTGATTTTATCTAGTGAGATGTCTACTCTTGCAAAATGTGATGGTGGAGGATACTTTTTTTTCTCTAGAATTACCTTTTCAGTTTTATCATTGATAAACATTATGTATAATAGTCAAATCAGGATTTTGTAAGGATTCTGGGATATGCTAGTAACGTAACACAAATCTATAAATTTTGACCAAAGCTGTTTTGCTCATTTCATGAACACCCTTAAAAAAAAAAAAAAAAAGATGCTAATCCATTTTCTTTGAGCTTTTGGTTAAATAGTAAGGTAGACTGAGCTCTCTTACATTGGGTGAAAGACAATCTGAAAGGAAAATATTCAAAATATTAGGGCTGACTGGGCCTTGATTGAGCAACTAGTCTAAGAAAACGCCAATTGAAAACCAAGCTCCATTAAGTTACCTTACACCAAATGTACCTACTGAGTTTCCCTACATCCCTAAAGATTTGTGATCCTACTAAACTGAGGAGAGAAGAGATTAGAAATGAAAAAGAGAAATTTTGTGTCTACCGAGATGTTAGAAAATTTAAAACAAATAGTAAGTGTCTATACTTATTAATAAGAACCAGCATATATGTTGATTCAACAGATGAAGGCAAGGACCTAATTATGTTTATAGAAACTTCATACTACAGTTGTACAGAATGCATTAACTTTCTACTTGGTTTCTTGGAGATGTTTTTGGCAGATAACTGCTTACCGTTTTGTGAAAAATTGTGATGCACATGTATGTAAATACATCTCGTTACTCTGAAAGCATACAAGTAATTATGAAGTTTCTTAAAATCATTAGTACTTCTTAATTGGTTATTGATCAGTAAAATATCAGTGGAATTGATGTATTTTTTCAGGTTTATAGGAAATACTGTAGCAAAAATCTGCCAATTCCAGACACCATTGAATTGGGTTTTCTCATTTAATCTTTGATTTAAACTTCTTTAAAAACAAAAATGTAACTGAGCATTCATCAATAAGGACTGCAGTAACAGACACTGCTATTTTCAGCCACTGTCTATAATAGTAGAGGAGGCACAGTGAAATTATGGATAGCAGCTCGGATTGAGGAATCAGAGAGCCGAGTTCGAATTCCATTTGAATCCATTACATTCACTTACGTACTAATACCCTTGGGAAAGTTATCAATCCTCTTCTTCTCCCCCCAGCTATGGGTAAATAGCAGGACAGACCAGGTTCTATAGCTTTGGATGGTAACTGGTCTACTGCAGAAACAAATGGCAACCTAATGCGGGAAAAAATCTGCCTTGTAAGTTATGTATCAAAAGATACATGATCGCCTAAGCATGTATCACACACGGCACATAACTGACTGACTGTCTATAATATTAGCCATGTGTCATTCAACTACAAAGTGTTTTCCTTGAGAAGTAGAACATGATTCTGAGTAGAAGGCTAATGGGTATCCATCCTGAAAGAGAATACAAACTAGCACCATGTTAGATGCATCAGGTTCAGGATAACAGATACTCGGTTCTATTGGTTGCTACAACTTCATCTATCATACTTTGGGATAGTTTTTCAGAATGAGTTAAGTGCATCTTTGCATCTCAAAATTTTTACATATAAACACTAGGAATAGGTATCATAATTAATCATGTATATTATACACCCTAATTTTAACTGTTCAACTTTTTATCTGGTTTGTATCAACTAAAAATAAGTTTATGTTTTGATGATAAATTATACAATATTTTCAAAGCAAGCACTTGGACATGTACCCTCAAAAATGCAACAAACTTTCAGTGAAAAGAATTTCACAGTAAGAGAAACAAGAATATAAAACACACATGCCAGTTTAAGATGAGCAGTGTAAAACAGAAGTTGATATTGTTACGTCTGCAAGTGGCATATAAAAGAATTGACCCTGGTGCATTTTGATAGCATCAACAGATTCGTGTGAAATAACAACTGGAATCAATTAAAATTTATCATGTAATCAGTGTTGGCACGATGACTAGTGTTCTTCAGTCACTGGACATTCAGTTGCCATTTTAGTTGCTAGTTTGCAATAAATGGAACCTATTATTGCCATAAGTAAAGCAGACAATAATGTATTTAGTATCTATATGAATTATATTTTTCTTTTTTTAAACTAATGCAGTTTTTGGTTAAGAATTTAAATTCTTTGTAATACATTAGTTACTTTGGACCAAAGATATAAATTACTTTCAGTCCTACTGTCTCAAATATGACAATGCATGTGGCTAGATAAAGAATTAAGTTCTCATATATAACATGGACCCATCATCAAGTCACCAAAAACGTGTGTATAAACCATGAATAATTATGGTATTTATTTTTTGCAATAAGAAAAAAAAAACTGATAAGGAATCATAGATTTTTCCAGATTATGATCAGAGATATAAATTTATCCATAACTTAAAAAAACAACAGTTCCCCTTGGTGCAACGAAAAGAGTCTTGCAAACTAAGTAAATAAAGCTTTAAGGCAGCCATCAAATGGTATTTAGAGAAGATAAGTGGCACCTCTTCATAACTGTTATGAAAATCAATAAAAGAGAAAATAATATTTCACCTTTAGAATTTTGGTAGGTTACTTGGTTTAATGAGAAAAAATTGTTCTGCACATCAACAATGGTGCGATATTAACAACAGAAAATAACCTTGTCTGAAGTCAACAACAAGTCTACTGCAGTTAAGGAAGAATTAAAATAGAATGTACTGCAGTTCTTGTGAATAATGCTGTGTGCTAAAGGTCAAGAGGAGTTTGCAAATGTTATGTATCTATCTTGTATTGGAGAAAATCTGAGGTTCAATTCAGTGTTAGTGTCTTTATGGGCTTTAATTCAGCTAAATTATATTTTTGTTTAGTAAATGTTTATGTTAATCTCATTTGTTCCTCATGTACCTTTTCTAAATATGAGATTTTTGTTGATTTGTTTGTTTTGATTTTTACAGCTTATCAAGCCTTTATGAGTTATTTAAAGCCAAAACATATTTTGGATTTTAAGAATAATTTTTTTTGCAAGCGAATATTGCATTAATGATTTTTTAGAGAATAAAAATGATTTTTTTCAGATACAAATCTTACTATTTAACCCACAGCTGGAGGATATTTGTGCATAATTGCATATAACAAACTCAACTGGAATTTGAGATTTTGGAGATGATAATTTTATCCCTATCTACTTTTAGTGATAGATGTAACCATCCTACATTGATAATGATCAGTGAAGAAGGTGTTGCTGATGAAAGGTTTCCACCTAGTTTGAGATTCATTTCATTACAGATGTTATATAATAGGCATGTCAAACATGCGACCTGTGTGACACAACTGCAACCTGAACAAAGGATACAAATTTAGTCATTTAACGGCCAAAATGGCACCTTTTATAATCTAGAAATTACAGTATTTAAGAAAATAAATCACATATTTTTTACATTTGGATTATTTTAATAGAACATTAAATAAAAAATACCATTTACTGCATAAATTTATTTAAAATAATTTTAACATTATCAACAAAATTTAAGTTAGTTGCTACAATTTTTTCAAATAATCGCTGAGTACCATGTACTAAGCTATTATTTGAAAAAAAATTGTAGCAAATATATGATATTCTTGATGGTTGAGAAAATAGCATGGGAACAAATTCTCTCTAGTAGTCATGCCACCAGCCAACACACCACAAAAACAATATGGCAGTTCATTAACAGTTATAAACAGAAAACTTTCTTTCAAAATTTCAAAAGTTTTGCTTTTAAAGGTGAAATGTCAGCCAACAAATTTTTAGGTGTTATCAAAATTGCTTTATTTCTTTTTACTGTTAACTG